ATGAGATAAGGAGGGGAGAGTGAGGATGAATCCATGGCTGATTAGGAAGCTCAGGATGTGGAGATGGGGAAAGACGAGTGGGACGGTGATGGTGGGATGGGGTGGGAGGGGAGGGGAGGAAAGGATGGATTGCTAGACGGGAGGAGAATAACGAGGGAGAGGAGGAGCAGAAGGGAGTGTGGATCTTCCACATGTAGTTTGACCGGTTGCCGCGCGCTCCAGGAGACTAGGCGAACCGAAGGGCTGCCTCTGCACGGCTGGTCCTCAGATTGGTCCCACACCGACATCGCGATGCCTGATTTCACCTTCACAGAGTACAAGGAGCTGGCCGATTCAGGGGGATGCGAACAGAGGGGGGCAATGGGAACGGGAGGCAGAGGAGAGGGGAAGGGTCAGGAACAGGACGCAAACTGTGGATGAGTTGGAGGAGGAGGAGAAGGAGCAGGAGGAGGAGGAGGAGGAGGAGGAGGAGGAGGAGGAGGAGGAGGAGGAGGAGGAGAAGGAGGAGGAGGAGGAGGAGGAGGAGGACGACGACGAAGACGAAGGTGTCGTTTCCGTCCCGCTTGGGCCTCCCTGCAACAGGGGTGGGCGATGCCCCCCCGGGCAGTGCTGGGTGCACGCACCCCCCCTCTGGGCCGCGCACGCTGGCCAGGTCGCGGTCTTGGAGGAGGAGGAGGAGGAGGAGGAGGAGGAGGAGGAGGAGGAGGAGGAGGAGGAGGAGGTGAGAGGGAGGAGGAAGCGGGACGAGGGAAGACGCTCATGATGACGAGGATTTTGGATGAGGGTTAGGATGGGGATCGAGATGGGGAGGAAGAGCACTCGCAGGGTGCTGCGCGCGCACGACCTCGGAGGCCGGGCCCACGGGCCCGGCGGCGCCGCGGCGCGCGGTGGCGGGCCGGCGGCGCAGGCGCGCCCGCGGGGCCGCGCGCCGGCCAGGCCGCGGCGCCGTGGGCGCGCTCCGCTTTCTGCGCTCCGCTTTTTGCGCTTTCGTTGTTTTTTTTTTTTGTTTTTTTTTTTTTTTTTGGTTTTTTTTGTTGTTGTTGTTTTTTTTTTTCGGTTTTAATATATATGTAAGTGCTCGCACGTGAATCATCTAGGCAAGCCCGACCGCCGCTAAGCGGTACAACGCTTCCGTAGTCTTCTCTGGGCTCAAGCGGGGCCCCAGGTGGCATGGATTTCGGGCTAAACCTTTTCTACGAGGTTGTTCGATCGTTGGGCACCGCCGCCATAGTCTCGGCGGGCAGCTGCCCAGCGGTGCCCGCGTGCCCCGCCTGCCCGCCGTGCCCGGCGGTGCCCGCGTGCCCAGGCGCGCCACCGCTCCCCGAGCCGACGTGCGGGGTGAGCGACCCCGAGGTGCTGGCGGACAACAGCCGCCTGTGGGCCTGGACGGTGCTGCTGCTCGCGGCCAGCTCGACGTTCGTCGCCCTCGGCTTCGCGCGCAATGGCGGCCGCAGCCCCGGGGGGGCCGCTGCCCCTGCAGGCGGCGCCGGGGCTGGGAGTGGCGGCGCAGGCGGTCCAGGCGGCGGTGGCCTGGGCCTTCGTATGGTACGCGACGCCGGAGGCCCTGTGGCACCAGAGGCTGCTGCTCGGCGTGCTGGCGTCATCGGCGACTAGGTTCCTCATTGTCACGCCAGATGGACAAGTATATGATGAAGAGCATGGACCTGCCAATGCGGACGTGGTGGGGATCCGCTTCGCGACGCAGCGGTGGCCACCTCCGCCCGGCGTGACGAGGGCGATGTGCTACAGGTTCGCCGCCGCTCCGGCGGCGGCTCAGATCGCCCAGTGGACGGGTGAGGCGACCGCCCACGCCATGGCGCTGCAGACTACGGTGGCGCCGCTCCCCGCGCTGGTGCACGGCAGCGCGACGCCGCCGGGGGTACCAGCCGCCGCGCCTGCTCCTGGGGCCGCCCGCGCCTGGCGCGGCGGCCGCCGCGGGTGCTGCACCCGCGCCCGCTCAGGGGGGAGCAGGCAGCTGGCTGGCGGTCGAGACGCGGGCTGGGCTTCGTCGCGGTGATGCGGTGGCCCTCTTGCCGCAGGCCATTGTGCAGGGCACGCGTGCTATGCAAGAGCAGGGGGTGCCGCCGCAGTGGGTGCTGCTCGCCTTCGTGCCGCAGGGCGGCGAGATCGAGTTCGCGGGGGCGGAGGCGGTAGGCGACGCTCGGCTGATGACCGTGACGACCATCGGTGGGCAGAGAGTGAAGGCGGTGTTCCGAGCGGCAGTGGATGCCGTGCAGGAGGTGAACTTCGTGGACTTCCCGGTGCCAGGCCCTCGCACGACGTTATGGTGCCTGAAGTTCACCAATCGCCGCAACGGAGGTGCTATTGACTGGCACCGCTTCTGGGAGCACACGCACGGCCTCAAGGCCGAGTTCTGGGGCGTCGGTGAGCATTTCATGATCATGCAAACCGTGGAGTTAGCCCTCACGTACGACGCCTTGGACGTCGTGAACCTGGGGGCTTTCGAGCTGATGATCAGGAAGGCCCAACTCATCGAGTGCAGCTACTCCGAGATGGGCGGCGGCGGGAGGTCCAGCGACGGCGCCGAGGCCGACGGCAAGGAGAAGAAGGACAAGAAGGGCAAGGGCCGTGGCGGCCTCATGCGAGTGGGGCTCTACGACGAGTCCCAGATCTTCATGGGGGGCCACAAGGAGTTCGGGGACATCATGGTGGCCCCCGACCTCCTGGACTACGTGTCGAAGGAGGTGGAGCGCGACGCCAGCGTGCTCAAGCAGGTTCGCAAGGCCCGCGAGGAGCGGGCCGCGGCGGGCCGTTAGCCCTACGAGAAGGCCGCCCGATCAGGCCTCCTGCCTGGTCGGGCTCCCGGCGAGGGGACTCTCGTTCCCTCGCCCATGCGGGCGGCTGCCGCGTCCTCGGACATGAAGGCTGCCCACAGTTTTGGACTGCCAGCCGCTGACGGTCGACAGCGCGACCTGCTCCCGCTGCCTGATGTGTTTCAGGGGCCATCCAGTTTTTCGGCGTCGACACGACCGAGTCTGTCACGACGCTCACGCCAGCGCCTCCATGCGCATCAGCACGAGTTGAAGTGGGCGAGCGACATGGTGGAGTCGCTCAACGAGATGAGTGCTGGGCCGCAGCACCGCGGCGCGCCGGGGGCGCAGGCCACCGAGGGCCAGCAGATGGTGCTCGACCGCCTTCTCTCGTGTGCTCAGGAGGTGGGTCGCCCCCCTCCTGGGCTTTCAGGCCAGGAAGCCTTGCGAGAGCTTCTGGCCCGCCGGGGCTACGACGGCGAGCCCGCGACCCTGGCCAACCTTGATGTTGACTGTCTGGCACTTCCTGAGCGAGGTCACCGAGCGGTACCTCTTTTGGAACTGGATGAGCCAGCTGGTGTGGAAGTCAGAAGGATCCTACAGGAGAAGCTCCTGCCAAAAGAGGAGGCGGAGCAGCGTAAGTTGAGTTCGGGAGTGAAGAAGGTTTTCACGGATTCTCGCCTTCGTAATCGCCGTGAATACTGCAAGCTGGTGAAGCGGCTTGAGGCGTGCGGTCTTATCGAGTACAGGACGCACCGCGAGGAGGATGTCGGTGTGTTCGCGGTCCACAAAAAGGATGGCAGACAACGTATGATCATTGATGCCCGATGGGCCAACTCTCACTTTGCTGACCCACCAGACGTCAAGCTGGCCACGGGCCAAAGCTTCGCCATGCTCGAGGTCGACGCAGGCGAGCCCGTGTGGCTTGGCGGAGTGGACATCGTGAACTGTTTTTACACGCTGGAGCTCCCGGCCGAGTTCCGCGGGTACTTTGCCCTTCCTCGCCTTCGCGCCCGCGATGTTGGTGGAGACGGTGATGGAGTCGTATTTCCGTGCCTGAAGGTGATCCCGATGGGCTGGAATCAGGCGCTGATGGCCTGTCAGGTCATCCACGAAGCCATGGTGGACAAGATCGAAGGGATCTCGGCCGCCAACAGGATGTCCGACGGGGCCGAGGTGCCAGCCATGCAGCCGAAGGTCCACACGGAGTACGTGGACAACTTCGTGGCGTACGCTGGCGAGCAAGGCCCTGTGGCAGAGGCTGCTCGGCGGGTGGACGCCCTGTTCCGCTCGAAGGGGCTCCCTACCCACGGGGTCGAGGTGGGCCAGGGCGGCGCTTCGCTCGGCTGGGAATTCGCGACCGACACCAGCCTGGTGGGGCCGAGTCGGCTTCGCCTCTGGCGGCTGCGGCTGGGCATCCAGGAGGTGCTGCGCCGCCCGAGGGTGTCGGGCCGTGTGATCGAGATCATCATAGGCCATCTCACCTTCGTGGGCTTGCTGCGCCGTGAGTTCCTGGCAGTTTTCGGGGCCGTCTATGCCTTCGTCAGCCAGAATCGTGAGCGGGAGGTTGCACTCTGGCCTGCCGTCAGGAGGGAGTTGAAATGGGCGTCCTCCTTACTCCCTCTGCTGCGTCGTGATCTCGGGGCAGCGTGGTCGGACACGGTCTGTGTCAGCGACGCGTCGCCGTGGGGTCGCGGCGTCGTAGAGGGGGAACGGGCGGTGCCGCTCATTGCAGCTGCCGGGCGGGTGAGCGAGCGCTGGCGCTTCTCGAAGAGTGAGGAGCTCGGCGCCCGGGCTCGACTGCACTGCGAGTTGCAGCAAAGCAGGCTGCGATCGCAGGAGAAGGACAACCAATGGCCAGACAGCTGTACCCCTTCCTCAGACTTCAGAGAAGTCAGCCCTGAACTCATGAAAGGCGAATGGAGAGTTGTGTCTGCTGGCCGCTGGTGGAAGTCCGAACACATGCCCCTGCTCGAGGCTAGAGCGGTCCTCTGGGCCCTGAAGCACCAGCTCCGACGTCGGAGATCTTTTGGCAAAAAGCTACTATTCATCGTCGACGCTATGAGTATCGCTCTGATGTTTTCAAAGGGGAGATCGTCGTCATCACCTATGAATCGCATCTGCAGACAATGGAGCGCACTATGTCTCGGAGCCAATGTTATGCCAAGCGTACGATGGATCATGAGCGAGCTAAACCCAGCAGATGAGCCATCACGAATATATACACCACCATCAACGTCATCAGCACTACATCGTTATTTCCTCGGTTCCGTACCACGTCTTGGATCCGATTCAGGCAGCCCGAGGTCGGGGCACCGGGGCGACTCAGAGCGCGATGCTGCGCCGCCCTGCCCTGGCGGCGGCAGCGTCGCCCGCGGCGAGCAGCGGGCAGCTCAGCCGAGCGGCGGCCGCTGCGCCCTCAGCGACTCGGAGGCCGACAGCAGCGGCGGAGGCGAAGGCCAAGCGGGCCGCCCAGAGGAGGGCGCGCCAGCCCGAGGCGAAGGCCTACCAGGCCTCGGAGGGCCGCACCTTCCTGGAGGCCCGATCGGTGT